TTGGAGCTGCAACAGAATCAGCTGCCAGATGAGCTCAATACAAAAGTTGTGCACACGTCATTGTCCATTTCTGAAAAGTATAAACAAACTATAGAAAAAAGATGAAATTTAATGATAACATTGTAATAAATGTGAATAGTGAGTGACCCCTTAACATCATTTAAAAAAATATATTTTGAAACAATTTCTCATTATTGACTCATTTTGCCAGAATCGCTTAATGCAAGACATTGACAGTTATTTTTCTCATTATCTGTGTACTCTGTACTGGTGAATATTACTAATTTTTAGAATTTAGCCTCAAATGTAACGCCAAGATGTATATTCCCATGCTTCCCAGTTATCCATGGATATGTGTAGAGTAGCCAGAGTGCTGACTGTACAAATTTCTAGTTGAGATAGAAGAAGGCGACTTCTGTGTGCTTAAAAATATGGTCACACTCTGCTTTGTTTCAGTTCTCAGACTGTAAACAATATCTTTTTCAGGGTCTATTTTATGTTGAGATTTTTGTACCTTTTTTAAAATAAATGATTTGTTGAGAATTTCATACCTGCGTATAAGGCTTTTGATCAAATCCATGCCCACTCTTTCCCCTCCAACTCCTCTCATATCTCCCCATCACTTCTTTTCTGATAACTTCATGTACTCTTTCTTCTTCTTTGATTTTTTTTTAAATGGGGCTTTTTGCTACTCTAACGTTCTCCCTTCTAAAGAGGTAGCCCTAAAATCTTTTAAGGATTAGATAAAAGATCCCAAATATTTTTGATATTTTTGGGTTTTGGAATGCAGTATGTTGCTGAGGACCAAGGACATTGTGAGTTTTAGCCAAGAAATTGGATAATTGGGGTTGGGGTCTTTTTACCCTAATTACCTAGCCATTTCCTACCTCCTATTCTTATCACACTCATCCTCTGAAGAAGAGGTTACCCAAATTGCCAATAGGGAATCAGGACGCAGACCTCTCTGGTTTCTTCCACACTGAACAGGGATGCAAGGTGAGGCATTGGAGTACCCCTTTGGTGGGGTCTATCTAAAAGACTCCCAGATTGCATAACTCTTATCTTGAGGAGGAAAAGAAAGTCTTTGAATTGTGAATAGGAGATGTGAAGAAGTAAAGACAAGAGTAATTAGCATTACAAGTTCTAGACAGGGAACTAGAAAAAAGTCAGAACAGGGCACTTTTCAAACGTTCATGTGAGAGTCCATTAGAATTTCTTGACAAGGGCTTCCAAAAGCATCCTTCTATTGGGTTCCTCCTCATTTTTCTTTTGTCTTCCAAGGCTGGACTCTAGAGTGATGGATTCGGGATTTGCTTTCAGGTATTTTGATAGCTGTTGGAGTGGTTGGACTCAGTGTCAGTTCCCTCTCAAAGGCTTCTAGATGGGGGCTGGGGAAACAAGTCTATCCATCATTTTAGAACAATAGCAGGTTGTCTCCCTTAGCTACAAGTCAGCACTACAGTATTGGAGACCAAGATTTGAAGTCTTAACATCTGCGCAGCACTTTCTGGTTAGGAACAAAATCATCAATGAGAAATAATTGTCTAAAGAACTTTTTATATAGACTTAAGCCTCATGTCTGGGAAGTGTAATCCCGTGAACTCTTAAAGAAATATCCTGATGACCTTACTCTCTTTGGTTACACTTTTCCTTTTGGGTGTTTAAGACCATACAGTTGGCCCAAATAAATCAATTTATTTATACACTTAAGGTCATTTGAGGATCTGTTCCTCAGGGGTCACATGGGCTTGGGAGGGGCTCCTGGCTCTGTTCTTTTACCAGTTCCATCTATGTGAAGATAAGTCAAAGGTCCTGCTTGACCATGTCTGGCTTCACTTGGAAGCATGAATGAGATGATTCCTCTGAGTTGACCCTCCTCTTTGTAGCCTGGACACTG